GAGAGAGAGAACTAATAAGGTTAAGATAAATGGAAAGTTCCTTTTATAGCTTGTAAAGCCAGCAATTTCATTCAAGAATCAGGGCTTACACTAGAACTGGAGTACTAATAAAGACAAATTTTAATGACAAAAGTGAAAATATAAAACGAAATATGAAATATGTCATTTGTCTCAACCAAGGTGGATGACTGAGAAGCGAATAAAATGATGGTCTCTTAAATTTCATGGAAAGAATTTTTAAATGCATAGAATGATAATACCCACCCCTCACTGTAACAATGCTTTAGAGTCCAGGGTCTCTCTGCCTGTGTCTAAGATGGCCTACTCCCATGGTGCCCATTCTCAATGGTAAAGAAAGCATTCCTTCCTTAGTCTTGTTGCTTTCTCTCAAGAGCCCACTATTCAGACAGAAAGAGGGCCAAATATCTACATTGACTTCCCTGCCTCTTGCTGCTGCCACTGCTGTTGAAATCCTCCGGTACAGGCTATCAGTAACAGAAATCACTAGGTTGGGCTCACCCTCGACTGCAGATGATTTCTAGGGCCTCCAGGTTCCCATGGTAGGCTGCCAGGAGAGTGGGCGTCATGCCATCTTCATCTGAGAGATTCAGATCGCGCTTGGTAGCCTCCTTCAGAAGCTCCAGGTAGTTGTCACTAGCAGCTTGGTGATAGCGGGTGGACATGTTTCCTGCTCACTGGAGCTTGGCTAGGTACCTTCCTGTCTAGGCAGAGTATGGGCAGATCAACCTTCCTACAGAGCTGGTTAATCAGTGACAAGGAGCGTCACTCCAGGGCAAAGCTCATTCCAGACTGCTTGGAAGACAGCCAGAGGGACCTTAAACACCTGACTTGGACCTTCCTATCTGGAATTTCCTTGACACTCAACACTGAGGCCTGCCATATCCATCGTGGGGGTTTTTGAGGCACATTTAATCTTTGCTATGTCTATTAACAAGTCTTGGATGTAAATACTGGTCATCCAGGTACAGAATGTGGAAAAGAATTTCAAAAAGACTCAGAACTATTTTACTTCACAGGGAGGTCTTTTTAGTAGCTTTAGAGGTGTAATTTGTACAACTTGAAATTTATTCATTTGAAGTATATATCCAACTGTAAATTTACAGTTGTGCAACCATTTGTGAAGAGAGGCTGTGACTGAGAGACCAAGAAAAGAAATGGGGCTCTATCAGAGAATTTCTACACTACAAGTCAGGCTAGAAATGTCTCCAGAGGGGAAGGCGTGGTGGCACACACCTTTAATCCCAGCAGAGGCAGGTGGATCTCTGTGAAGTACGATCATGATGCTGTGGATAAGAAAAGATGTGTTCTCATTTCCCTCTAATCCTAAGTCAGCATTTTCTGTTCCTGTCTTGCTGAAGGTGAAGAATTCACATTGGACAAAGAAAGAATAAGCAAGAAGTCAAGGTTTAATTCATCAGGTAAGAAATCAGAAGCACAAAGTAAATAGACCCTCCTGAGTGGAGTGTGGATTGAGTCGAGGGGTAATGGTAAATATCTGTGTCTACTATCTCAACATTAAGTCTTGGTCTACCATGTTGTGGGTACCTCCCTCCCTTGGTGGGCTGTTGGCCACCTACCCATGAGAACAAAGGGAGCATAAGCGATGAAGGGGGTCAGGATGACCAGTGAGCGCAATGGAAAAGTGTGGGAGAAAAGCTTGAGCCTAGGGTGATATTGTAACTGTCATAGTCACGTGGTTTCTAGGAAACCAGGCTCTGTAATCTGAAACCCAGTATGCTAATGAGGCATCCTGCTCTCTATTCTGTGATAGGACGTTAAGTCTGTTATACTAATAGGATGATGCTAATAAGGTATCCTACTTTCTGTACTGTGATAGGATGCTAAATCTGTTATGCTAATGAGGTATCCTACTTGCTGTGCTGTGATTGGACCACTACCCCTATATAAGCTTGTGCCTTTCTGCAATAAAGCAGACCTGTGTCACTGAACCTGGTCTCCTGTGTCTGAATGGAGCTCTGCTGACACAGTCTCCTCACCAGCCCTGGGGTCCAGGACCGGGCAGAAGCGGCGATGACAGGAGGCAGCACAGGGCAAGCAAAAGATCTGCCTCAGCACCAGGCGAGCAGAAGAGCGGCCTCAGCCCAGTGCAGGCAGAAGTGCGGCCTCAGTCCAGGGCAAGCGGAGGAGCAGCACCCACGAGACCGGAGGAGCTGCCACCACTGGCAGTGACTGCAAAAACTAAGCACATCCAAGGACCACAGAATAGCCACCTCTAAACACAGGAGCAGCTGGGAATCAAACATCGACCAGTCAGGATTGCCTTCCTTTGCATGGCAGGAATTGCATGATGGGAATTGTGTGGTGGGTCAACTGCCCACAGAGGATAGCTCCAACATATCCCACCCCCATTCACCATTATTTCATGCAGTTGGTTTTTGAGTTCTGTTGGTTTTCTCATCGTCGCTGTTAGTGGTATTTTCCATTGAGTTTTTGCAGTGTATCTAACAAACTTGTATTTTTCTAATCTGGCCTGATTTAATCAGTACCCACCAATTGCCCCCTTATAATCCACTGTAAGTACTTTCCCATATTGTTACAAAATCTTCAGTATGTTTGGCTAACAGTCACTAAATTGATGTGAAGTTCTGTTTTTGAAGTCAGTAATTGTTTATTCTGCTTAACTCTTTTCTGTGGAAGTCTCTATTCCAAGAGAAATTATTCACACACTCTGAAGAAGTACACGGCTTTCATGTGCAGGTTCTTCACAATTATAATTAGCTCCAAGGGTCACTGAATTTATTCCTTTTTCCTGTTTCTATGTGAACAGCATTAGAAGCTGCAGAAGCAGCCTGAAGAGCATTATTCAACTGTCAGAAACAAATTTTGGTTTTAGTCCACAGAGAGTGACATATTCAAAGATGACTGTGAATATTTGGCGGGGGGGAGCGGAAATAGGAAAGAAAAATGTCAGGCTGTTCCACATGAGCCTCTGTAATTTAGAGACAACTGCATTAATTAGTGCAGTATGGCTTAGAAGATCTATAGAGATGTATCAAAGAAAAGATTTCTCAAAACTAAAAAAAATTACTTATAATTCTAGTGTCAATCGTATACAAGTCTGCTGTCTGAAAATGATGCTCAGGATAATGGAAAAGAGGATGAGGATGAAGAAGATAAATGATGCAGGAGGAGTGGGAAGATGTGTGCATATGTGTGCAGGAGCCTGTAGAGGCCTTAGAGGCCATCAGATTCCCCTAGAAATCAGAGTTACAGGTGGTTGTGAGCCACCATGTGGGTGCTAGAACCTGAACCCAGGTCCTCAGCAATAGTAGCAAGTACTCAACCGCTGAGCCATCTCTCCAGCCCCTGGATTTATTTTTTAATGACTAAGATCCCGGCAACCTCTTGACATTTCCTAGGGGAAAAACTTCCTTGAGAGAAAAATGGTTGTAGCGCAGAAGCAGAAACAAATCCTCCTGAATGCGAAGCCCCTTCCCACTTCATCCCTTCAAGGTTGGGCTGAGAAGGAGGGTTGAACTCAGAGCTAGAACATCTGGAGTCCTCCTCTCATACAAACATTTGAAAATTGCCGTGTTCTGACTTTTTTCTAGTTCCCTGTCTAGAACTTGTAATGCTAATTACTCTTGCCTTTACTTCTCCTTCACATCTCCTATTCACCAGTCAAGGACTTTCTTTTCCCCTTAGAGATAAGAGTTATGCAATTTGGGAGTCTTTTAGATAGACCCACTGAAGGGGTACTCCAGTTGCCTCACCCTGTGTCCCTGTTCAGCATGAAAGAAGCCAGAGCAGTCTGTGTCCTGAGTACCTGTCCACAAGTTGGGTAATCTCTTCAGAGGATGGTGTGATAAGAATGGGAGGTAGGAATTGGCTAGGCAGTTAGAGTAAAAAGACCCCAA